GCTGTTTCATTTGGCTTAATGAGATTTTGACAAAGCTTTCCAAGACATCATTTGCCTTTCATAGCCAGTGCTACACACACACACGTGTATGTGATTATGTGTGTGTGTGTGTGTGTGTGTGAAGCACTGCTTAACATATATTTGAGAGTTCAAAAACATCCTGGAAATGCATCAGCCAGAAACTATATGGAAAGTTTATTACCCAGCATTCCCTCCCATGTCACCTTTGCAGATGCTGAATGAGCGTCACGTGATGGTACGAGTGGGTGGAGGATGGGAGACTTTTATGAGTTACCTGAAGAAACATGACCCCTGCAGAGGAGGAGAAGGAGAAGGAGGAGCAGTGCTGGCAGGTAAATCTGAGGTCAGGCTCTGTAAGGACAAACCAAAGCCACCCAACTTGAACATCTCACCTGACAGTTACATGGTGGTCGGAGCCCATTATCGTGGCAAGAAGTAACTGCCTCCGGCTTCAGGTGGCAGCGGGAACTCTCACCTAATCAGAGCAAAGTGTTCAAGGTCAGTGATTCAACACAGCTGACGTCCATTTTACCTCAAGTTAAAATACAATCCAACCTTTTCTCCTTATACACAGATGTGACTGTTCTTATAGCTGTGTGAAGTACGCAACTGACTGTGATTACAAGCTTACTTAACTCTGCGTATGCCACAGTGCGTTAGGAGGCAAATAAATGGCAACAATTTTATCAATTCACTCGCTTTCACCGCTTCCTGCTGCTGCAATTTGTGCTTCAGCAGCTTTATTTTGAGCTGTAAGAAATTGCAGCGCAGATATTTTTGTCAGCGCACCATCTTTTGGATGTACATCATTACTTCCATATATACTTCATTGTGAAACACTCTTTCAGGAAAAGGTTTTTTTTGGTACTCTATGCAATAATGTGTCTGGTGTAAAGTCATGTTTAGATTTGTGCAGTTTCTCAAGCTCACAATGTGTTTATGTTTGTTTGAACTTTTTTTTATTTTAGACATCCACATTCCTTAATCATCTGTGTATTTGAGTTTCATTGGATGTTTGCCTGTAATTAAACCTTTTTTCTAAAAAAATATGTGTTTAAAATAATTGTAACTTTTAAAAAAAAATATAGACTTGATTGCTATTGCAAGAACTAAATAAAAGATTTCTTAATGCTGCTTCATATTTACTTACTTCTCACGTTATTTGTATGTTTTGGGCCTTTTAACACAGATTTACTCATCCAAGTCTCTTTAAAAAAAAAAAAAAAGCAAAGACACAAAATGTTAAGTTCTCCCTCTAGGTGGCACCATGTCCTCAGTGACAAAAGGCCAACTGCCGCCGTGGTGATTAGTTGGGGAAGTAATGTGTCAACACTGGCGCTATGATGGTGTCCTACCTTCCTGGACATTCATCTCTTAGCTGGACCGTCTGTTTTCAGTTCAGCTCCAGAAAGCACCTCTACCCTACAGATTTAACAGTACAAAACATCTTGCTGCCTCAGACAGACGAGGATCGTCACATATTAAAACTTTCAAGATAAAGGTGCTTTTTTTGTCTTGTTTTTTTTTAAAAACAGAGCGATTCACACATAGCTCTGCAACTTTGGAGGGCAGAACTGCAGAGTCCCGGCACAAACACAAAGACAGAAAGCAACAACATGTTAATAATTACATGTTTTATTTCAGTAAAATAAACTAATTAAAAATGGACACACTTTTTCATATATTGAAAGAAACTAACTGTAATGAGATCATGCAAGGCTGTAATGTCTGGCTTTTGTTTTTTGTTTTTTTTTTATCCCCACGTAACATCTGCAGTGGATGGAACCAGTATAAATGTAGAAAATAATAGCTGTGCTACTGAAATGAGAGCCACTCTTAATGGTGGCATTTTCATGGGTCATCTCTCATTGCACAGAGTACTTCTCTAAGTTTCTCATGAAAGTTGGATTATACAACAATTTCCAGTATCTTGTTACACGGTGCTCATCCGTCCTCTAACGTTCGTTGTTTTTTGTTTTTTTGTAATGCTTTGTAACTCTTGCTACTGTGTGCTACTGTTCTTTTGTTTTGAGTTGATGACAAAACTTCAGCTTCAAAACACAGACACTGCTTTGTGTTGGTGTTCATTGAAATTTACTATTTGAGACATGGGGGGCTGGGGGGTGGGGGGTAGCTGTGTGCTTTCAAAATGTATCTTGTGTTATGTTTTGACTGCACACATGCAGTGGTGGCAAAAGTCTAATTCCTTCCCCACCCCCATAATACGCAAAAAAGAGTTGTGTGCAGTTGTGCTTCAGTCAGAACAACACATTGTACTTTCACCATGTACATATACATTACACTTCACTGCTTACAGTATATTACTGTGTTTCAGTTTAAGTGCAAACTTAAAACTTCATTAAAACACCACACAGCGTCGCATTCTGTCAGTTAGCAGTGTAGCGAGCATAGATATAAAAAATTTCCATATTTATAGTATGCCCTACTTTCAGGTGGAAACATTTCCACATTAAGAGCCTCGGCCGATTGACCCTGACCTCACAACACTGTATAAACGCGGACTCACAACAGGGTGCTTGTTACATGCTCTGATCATCTTTTGCTCCCTTGTGTGACCTTGCAAACAAATATAGTGCCACCAGCTTAAGACTTCAGGTTCACTAAATCATGAAACGCAGCAAAGTGCAAAGATTCAACAAGACACTGGCGATACAGTTTTCTATCATGCCTCAGTTCATTTCCTCATTGATGGTGATGGTGAAATGACCAAACGTCACACACAGTGTTGTTAAGACACTATAACACCTTTTTTTTTTCTAAGAGAGTTAATTGACATAGCTGATAGAATATCTCATGATTCATCTCAGGCAATCAACACTTATAAAAACATCATGGCTGTAATATTCTTGTATCATGTAGTCATGGATCGTGGAGGTGGTGAGTTTTGTCCTTTTAAAATATATTACCTCTAGTGACTCGGGAACAAAAAATTACAGCGTTACAAAAAAACAAAACAAAAACCAAATGGCTTTTGTGGGTTATTCTCGCCCAGTAGTGTTAACAGGGTGATAGTTTTTCCTTTTATATTTAACAGCTTTAAGTCCTACACTTTATTTTCAGACATTTTTACATTGTCCAAACCATGTTGCACACTATGGAATATGTCATTTTCCAACTTAATACAGAAAACCTGGTGTATTTCAAATCAAAAATAAGTTTCCAAGAACGCATTCTTTAAATTTGACTTCTTATGGATACTTGTCATTTCAAGTTTTCTCAGTCTAGTTATTTTCGATGTGTAAATTAAATAATTCAAACTGAATGTGTATTTGCAGTACAGCTCGAGACACATGTCTAGGCATATGTTGCTGTAGGTGCTTTGTTTTGACCTCGGATTTGGAGGTGTAAGACAAAAATGAAGAATTCCTCTGTTCCTCTCACACACAACAATGTGTAGTGTACTGTTTTGTTAGCTAGTACACAGTACATTTGCATTTTACTGGTACAAAATATATTTTTACTAAAATGATCAGTCATTGTGTGAATTCCAAGCATCACAGCCTTCAACAGGATTTTTTCTACTTATAATTTTGTTCTTGTTGTTGTTTTCTAAAGATTAACATCCATATAAAAAAAATTGTAAACAACTCTTAAATTCACAATATGCATTTGATTGCTGGACAATGAGGTCCATCACAGAAATGATCTTTTATTGTGCTCCTTTCCTTATATTAAAACTAACATTGCAGGATATTAAATGATGATAGTTTGGCCTTCCACTAATGTTTGATATAGTCTGTTATTGTACTTAGTACAGATGAGAATTCTGTGTGCAGATTGTGCTTGTATTTTTAGTGGCATCACTGAAGTTGCATTTCTTTCTCTTTTAAAATTGCTTAATTCGCTTCTATTCAGAGAAAAGAAGGACTGGCCAATATGAGGTTAAACAGCAGAGCAATCAAATACCTCCTCCATAGTTTGGTTTAATTTTTCTTGCTGTCAGGTTATGATTCAGCCTTCAGCAAACACACCGGTCTGTCAGATCCATGACAGTGCAGCAGATGCTGTGTTTCTTTTACTCAGATTTACCTGCTTACTTGCATTACTTTCACTTGGTAATCGACTGAACTCTGCCGGCCATCACTGCCTCTGAGCAAACAGAAAACAAATATTCAAAATCTACTTTACACAAACAATGATCTGGATCTACACTGAGATGCATTTGTACATATATAATTGTCAAAGAAGCGTCAAACAATTTGCTCTGGAAGGCAAAAATTTTACTTCTGTGTATTTTATCATACTGACCGCACTGCTAGACCCAGTATAGGCTGTAGACGTGTGCCCTGGGGCTCATGTTTGATATCAGTTAGTGTGCTATACTAAAGATAGGCAATGGGCAGTCAGTGCCAAATTTTTTTCTTCTTCTTTTTTTTTTCCATTACGAACAGTAACACAGCACACTTCACTCGACTGACAGAGGAATGCTGACAGGATGTTCTGGCCTGATGTTTGTTCCTTTTGCTGGATATCTCTCATGATTCATCCATAGTAATTGAGCATGTGTGGAAAGGCTGGTGTGTGTCTGTGTTTGTGTGTGTGTGTGTATGTGTGTGCTTGTGTGTAAATGTGTCTCTTGTGTGGGATTGTGTGTGGCTTTATGTATTTAAGAGAGCACCATTTTATGACAATTTCTCTTCAGAGAAAACAGTCACCATTAGATCATCATAAAGTCAGCATTTCAAAAATCAAAACCAAAAGAAAAAAAGTCTTATTTGTGCTATTAGAGCCATGTCCCAGTCAAACATTGCTGTGGGTGTCACTCTTGGCCTTTACGGAGGTCCCTCGGGGATTTTCAAGATTAGGTGTGTGAAATTTGCCGTTACTTTGTTCCTTCTGTCACAACTCAGGCACACTGAACACTGAAGGGGGATGGCGATGCTGAGGGTGTTGTGAGATGGTGATCAGACAAAAACTGTTTCAGAGTTAAACATCAAGGTTGGAAGGGTGTGTTTGTGCGTTCGGTGGTTCAATCGCTTCACAACGCCCCTGTCACACGGTTCCGTTCTCCTGCCTCGGCTTGTGGATGGTTGTGCGAGTGGCAGGCGTACTCAGGGATGGAGCCAAGGTGCAGAGGAAGCCAGCCAGCAATGTGAGACCGAGGCCCCCCCAGGCACAAAACATGGACCAGCCATAGCCATGGCTAATGTCTTCAGGGAGGCCATACATGTAGCGAGGATAGCGGGATAACTCGAAGTTGATTCCTGCCACACATGTGCACAATGAGATGATGCAGCATGTTCCTGTGTGAGTGGAAGAGAACAGGACTGGTTTACATGGTTTTCAATCGATTATTGAATTTTTACATGTACTCTGCATCTTACTGCAGGATGAGAATCATGTTACTGCGGGACATTGAACTGTTATCTCATGTTAACACAAAGGTGCTCTCAGCTGTCATCAAATAAATAAATAAAG